GATTAAGGTTAACTATTGATGATAAACATTCAACGATTGAAAAACCCTTTTCTTCAACCACTCAGCTTTTTTCTAGCTATTTTGGTGTGCAGTGCACAGTAGCCCAATAAAATAGAGGTTACCCATCAGCCTTCAGCTCCCATTCTTTCAGTGAAGCCAGAACGAGGAACCAATTTCTCTTTCCCGAGCCAACTGACTTGGGCCATTCCCCCTTTTCTAATTATATCTAGAGCTGAAGGAAGTACGTTTTGACCTGCTCTGCTAGGAGTTAACACCTAGGTGTTCAGACCTGAAGTGGTTGAACTGTAAGCACACAGTACACTATTCTACTAATGAGAATACAGACACTGTGTGAACAGGGTAAGGAGAACCTCACTGAATTGTAATGGTATTTAGGGTGGGTCCGTATTACTGGAAGGCGGCACCTTTTAAAGGGCAAGTCCTCCTTTGAATTAAAATTTAAAATACAATAAAGCGACCGCGGTATTTTGAAAAACCACCTTCTTTGGGGGAAGAAAAATGACCTTATCTTAAAGCCAGCATTACATGGATCGCAATTTGGCCGGTTCAACAGGGACTGGGCAAATTTTGATCCATGTATGGGCAGGGAGGGTTTTAACCAGAAGTTGATCTACCGATCAACCTCTGCACAACTCTTTTGGATTTTCTTTGCTTGATCAATGCTTCAAGCTATAACCTGCAATGCTGATCAGTGCATTCTGTTGGTGGGGAAGTCTCCCTGTTATCTGCAGTGTGGATGGGAGTAGTAAAGTTGTTTGTGGTTTTTTTATTTTATTTATTTTTTCTTGCTTTGTTTCTGTTCAACATGATGGTCAAAGGAAGATAAACAGACTCCCCCCTTCCCTCCCCCATGAGCTGCCTAAATATGCCTGTAGGTCAAGGGTGTGGCAGCAACATCTAAGATCTCTCCCAGTATTTAAGGTACTAGAAATTTCCCCCTCTAACAACCATGCATGTACAACCAGTTTTATGTCAGAGCATGCTCGTTTCTTAGACGCCATGAGAGTGCCTAAATGCTGGTGCCAAGCCCAATGGATCGTTTTCAATGAAACATAGTAAATTTTAAAATGAAGGTGAACTTGCCCCCCTTTTTAAAGTAATCCCTGCAAATAAAGCAATGCTTACATGTCCCTCTGCCTGTATTGCTCAACGCCACTACATTGAAGTTCTTCAGCATTTGGCAAATGCCTGCTCGCCTCCTGTACTTTGTGGTTCCTTACACTGACACCCTATGTCACTACTTTCTCCTGCAATAAGGTAAGTTCCATCTAAGGAAGCCAAAGACTGCAGCAGGGATTTGGGGGTATGCCAACATCTGACCCTGCAGGAAGTGTCAATTGTTGAACATTTTGCAGAAAATGCAGCTGCGTTTGGCTGGGCATGCATGGCTGTGTGCAGTCTTTGGTCAAGAGTAAAACTTGATAGTCAATAGGCTACTGTAATTTGCACAAGGCTCTTGTTAAAAGCTTGGTTACAAACGTATAAATAGAATTGCTTGCACGCTGTCATTGGTTTGATATGTTACAGAAGACGTGACCCGGAAGTATGATAATGCAATCAGTTGCCGATTTTTGAGATTTTAATTGTTGCCAATAGTTCTATCTCCCCAGATCATCTTACTGGTACGACTGCGGTATCCACTATCAGTAGTTGAACAAAGACATCCGCTCATTTTTATATGCAATATGGAAGAGAATATTTAGACAGGAAGGAAAAGATTTGCATCTCTTGCTTTTATTTCAGGACTTTAACATTTTCACTGCAAGTGGTTTAGTGAGGTGTGTGATAAGGTAATATGTTTAGGTAGCGACTCTAAAGAGCTCCAGTCAAAAAGTCATGGAATGTTTCTCTTGACATTTGCTTATTGAACCAGAAAGGGTTATTGAGACCAGTGTGACATTGACCTTTTTCTTTAGCTTGATCATATTGGGCTTTAGTTGGTCGATTTTCAACCAACGCCAGCTGCCATCTGTAGGACTGACTTCTCCTGTTTTGAGCTTGTACTCTTTTGGTTTTCGGTTAGGGCCATTTGCCCTGATAACTTGGTTGATATATCTGCTGTATTCTTGAACATTTCAATAAAAATATATATATATATAAAAACAAAAAAATCATGGAAGTCGGTCCGGATCAAGTTGTCGCATACCTGTTGTCTACTCTGTAAAGGGGTGGCAGGGGGTATTTAGGTGTGCTTACAGAAGGCAACCCTAGGGTTGGTATACCTACAGTATATTGTGAACTTCAGTAGTATTCCATAGTGTAGGCTGGAGCTGGGACAGTTCCTTCAAGTCTGCCGAATTACAAGCTGTGAAGAGTGTTGTCAACCTTCTGTGCAGCTAGATTATATAAAAGGTGTGGGTAAATCGGTCAGCGCATCACATCGTAAATCTTCAGTTTCCTTTTACATGTGTTCTTGTTTTGGTGGAGCTGCCATTTAAATAATAAAATAGGAAAAAGGTAAAACAGGTAAAAACTATTCTAGTAATCAACTAGCTGCCTATCTTTCCCACATTGCAATACTTGAACTTGAAAAAATTAAAAGTCAGTCTATGACCAGCTTAACCACTTCAGTATTTTCAGTTTCACCCTTTCCTGCCTAAGCCAATTTTCAGTTTTCAGCGCTATTGCACGGTCATGCAAAACTGTACCCATTTTTTTCTGGGACAGATCTTTCTTTTGGTGGTGTTTAATTACCACTGGGTTTTTTTTATTTTTGCTAAAGAAATGAAAAAAGACAGAAAATTAGGGAAAAAAAAAAGTTTGTTAAACTTTTTTTGAAATTAAGTAATTTTTCTTCAATGTTGAAGCGGCACTGATGGGTGCTGTTGAAGCGGCACTGATGGGCACTGATGATCAGTGCCCTGATTTTTAGTGTAAATGTGTCCTGTCAGGATTGCTGGTTATCGGCTCTCCTTTCCTCACACGGGTTTATTTATTAAAGCTGGTTCATGCAAAATCTTGTGCACTTCTGCATAGAAACCAATCCGCTTCCAGGTTTTATTGTTGAAGCTTAACTGAACAAGATGAGGTTAGAAGCTGATTGGCTACCATGCACAGCTGCACAAGATTCTGAGCAAACCAGGTTTAGTAAATAAAGCCCATAGTGACTGTGCATGAGGAAAGGAAATGCCGATAACCAGCAAGTTTGTTGTGATTGGACACAACTGATCACATAGTAAAGGGAAAATGTGATGGTCCCTTTACCTCGAACTGTGGATACAGCAGTCACTGTGCGCACCCCAAGGGGCATGTTCTGGGAGGATGTCCGTAGACGCCCTCCTTGAGCGAGAACTACTCTGTAGCCGTCTTTTTGGCTATGGCGCGGTAATGGGGTGGTTAAACGATATCCTTATTCAAAATACAATCCATACATATCCACCCCCTAGTGACCCTGTAATCTGTGTATCATGAAATAACTGTTTTTCTGCCTCCTTGTAAATTCCTGTGTGAGCTCCTGAACCTTTCCTTTTCATCTTTGTTTGGAATGGGGAGTACATGGTATTTGCAGTCATGTGAGCTGCTTTAAGCACACTACAAATCCCACAGTCCCTAGTCCATCTCAGGAGCGAGCAACAGATGGTAGCTGCATTCCTACATACAATGAGACCGTGAAGAACAAATGTATCCACCCTCTAACAGGAAGTCTGATAACAGCAGCAAAAAAACCCCACTGAATTCTGAGATTTGGAGGGGGCTGAGAGCAATAGAGAGGACTTTTATGAGTTAGGAATTCACATTTGAATAGAATTGTTTATTCAGTTTAGTATCCCTTTCATTTTATTCTCACTCCTCAATGTTGCAGTCCCATTAGGATGAAGTATTCCACCTCAATTTGCTCAACTATTATAAAGGCAGCAGTTCATCCATGCATGGTTCACTCAGATGTAGCAAAAATCCATGTACTTATCAAGTGGCTCTCTGGTCAGTAAGGGTGGCATTCAGATCTATTGTATCTGTGGAACCACAGTGTTGCTGATTTGTTTCCGATTTATAGCTGGACTCTCAGCCATTTATTCAAGAGGTTCACCGTTGTTTCATAAATGCCTTTTATATGCTCTCGTTGCATTTGACAATTCAAATCCTCTTCTGGCCATCTTTCGCATTATCCGTTTTTCTTGGACCCATTGTCATTTGAACAATTAGTATTGTCTTTGTTTTATGTGATACAAGCAGTCCCTGGGTTACGAACAAAATAGGTTTTGTATGTTTGTTGAATTTGTATGTAAATAGGAACAAGTACATTTCTAAAGTGTAACTCCAGCTAAAAAAAAAGTGTAAGTTTTGGATAGCTTAGGGAAGGGTTAACTGGTCATGCAGTTATGTGGGATTACTGAGAGGTCTGTTAAACAGTAGGTGGCAGCATGCGGTGAGCAGCAAGATGGCCATTCAGCGGTTTCTGGGACCAGCGTCAAGTCAGATGTTTGTAACTTGGGGACTGCCTGTAACTTTTTTTTTTTGTGTTTTTGTTTTTTTTTTGGGGGGGGGGGGGGGGGGGTTGTATTTTAAGTGTATGAGGGTAGCTATGTTCATTACATATGCAGGCTCTGCTTCCTGCCTACTAGTGTAACACAAAGTTCTTCTGTGCGGTTCCTTTTTCAGTGCATTTCGCTCACGAGGCTTGAATCTGAAGAATACAGTCAGTGTAATGGCTGAAAAAAAAAATCAATCTTCCAGCAAGGTTGAATTGCATTTGTCTAACCTACACATGGAGAAGCAACAAATCTGTATATAAAATATAACGAAATGATAAAGCCGTAGATATATGCGTCACTTGTGACCAACCTTGATATACGCTGTGTTTTTGTCTCACTGAAGCAAACTGTTACAGGTCTGATTTATGTATATTTTTAAACTCTGCTTTTGTTTAGCTTTAATAGCATCAGAAGAAGTTGGAGAATTTTTTAAACGGTTGTGTTTTATGGCAGAACACTCTGGTTCTAAATCCTGCCCTTTTTTTTCTTTTGCTTTTTTCTCTTTAGCAACAAGAACAAGATCCAACAAACCTGTATATATCTAACTTGCCATTGTCCATGGATGAGCAAGAGCTTGAAAATATGCTTAAGCCGTTTGGGCAGGTGATATCGACAAGGATACTACGTGATTCCAGTGGCACCAGTCGCGGAGTTGGATTTGCAAGGTGGGCTTTGTGGACTCTGGATTTTAAAGGTTTAAAGACCTCTCCAGTCAAACTTGGATATTACACTTTGCATCCCATACAAGCTACTTGGGGAATAAGAACTAAAGCGAGCATGGTTGTGGATAAGGGGGTCCTCCTGTACAGGTTCCAGGCCAGCAAGGGGGCCCAGACAGCTGAGTGAATCTGATGTGCGCAGGAAAGGGGGGGGGGGGTGCAATTGCTGGAACTGATCCTCTGTATGGCTCTCTGAAGCTGACCAAACTACTACCCCCCCCCCCCCCCCCCCCGTGCCCCCACCCCCACAGTACTGCCAGCTTCCTTCCTCTCCTTCCCACCGGCAACATATCACATTTACCTGCCCCTTCCTTCCCTGAATGAGCACAACGAGTGATCAGTACCAATGACTCACTGCTTTCATTCAAACTGAAGCATAATAAACTGTTGGTTTTTTTTGTTTGTTTGGGGGAGGGGTGGGGCCCTGTGGTTTCTAACAGCAGCCTTGAAAGCGCAATACAACTGATTTTAATAGTCCAGATACATATATGGTCATCCATTAGGCTGAGTGAAAAAAACTAAACCGATTCCTCCATCCACACATTAGAGGAGCTGCAGCGCTGTCGGAATACAATAGTGCAGCAGGCAGATTATCCCCTGCTGTCAAATTACACAAATCGGCACTGCAGCCATGGATACTGATAATTGCCTTTTATCTGACAGGGCGGCTGAACAGAAGTCACGTGTAGTTTAAATTTCGTCTAGTCTCTGCTAAACCTGCTAAATTGTGATCCATGTAAGCCACCTTAAGAGTGAAAGGGACAATGAAAGGAGTAGCTAATGTATTTTAAGGGATCAAAAACACCCCCTGTATAAAGCCAGCCATAGACCTGTATGGGCAGGTGGAAAGTACCAAGTTGATCGATCAACTTGGGTACAACCAGACTGTCGGCTTTTACATGCAATTATTACTAGTGGCTATTATAGCTGCTAGCAGTAATCACTCTGTTCTCACAGTGGAGATGGCTTCCCCACCCCAGTCCTCCAATGGCTTACGAACACGATGGCTCAGTGGAAGGGATTCCCCCATCAACACTGACTATGTTGATGGGAGGATAAAGTGATTTTCTGTCTGTGGCCGGCTTTAGGGCTTGCAATAGAAAACAATATAAAAAAAACTTAATATTGAATGGAACTTGTACAGTATTTAGTGTGATATTTACAGATCTCATCAGAAGCTGGTTTGGCTACCTAATACAATTAAGAAAAAAACAAGTCCATACTCGCAGGCAAAAAAATTAACTTCAGTACAAGCAGCCTGCCCATACATGGATCAAATCTCAACCGGTCCCTGCTGAACTGGCCAAAATTTGATCCATCTATGGCCGGCTTTAGTTGCAGTTCCTAGGATCCATTGTGCACAGGAGATGGGTAGTAAAGCCATACATGGATCGAAATTTGGCCAGTTAATTTGTGGGCACCTAGACTGTTTTTTTTTCCCCAACCAATTAGTGCCGCCGGCTATAGTCGGCAACACTAATTTTGTTCTGTCAACAGGGAAGTCTCCCCGCAAGCAAAAAAAACAATAGCGTTGTGAAGTGGGGCGGGGGAGATGGTAGATGCCCTCATCAACACATTGTTGAGGGAATCTAGCAATTTTTTTTTTATTGCCTTCCACCCATTGTAAGAAAATTGCAAAAACTATGGCCTGCCTTACTTCATCCAGCTCCATGGAAGGGTGTGCACCACATAGGACACATCTGCTGCGAATGAAACCCCTTGAAGCCCTGGGGGCAAGTCAAAGACAGTCCATCAGCCTTGTGGGAGGCTGGGTGTCTGCATTGGGAGTGGGAGTAAAATAGAGAAACAATTATCCACAAAGTGCCAAAGGCAGAAGCCGATAGGACAGAGGACATTGAGGTTGGGGTTTGTTTTAAGGGTTAAGTTCACCTCATTTTTGCAGGTAAAAAAGTGCATTTATTTTTTTTCTATGAATCCTGCAGAACGTTGCGCCAGTCATCAGCAGATCATGAGTGCAATGTCAGACTCCTGCAGACTGTCGAGTTACTGCAGGAAGATCGGTGTTCTAAGAGCGCCCACCAGCACCCTCACAGTTTGAGAACTGCAAGCAGTAGCCACTATGGTTGATGATACTTGTAGGCATTCATTCACAGGAAGCTGAACGAATGACACACCCATGTGGGTGGAGCTCCACACCAGCATGCTGTTTTCAGATTGTGACCGGGCTGCCTGAAGAGGATCCCTTGCCTGCTGTCACAGGGAGCAGGGGGTTTGGATTGGGGGGAGAGGCTGCAGATGTTTGAACATGTTTCAAGTCAACGTTTCTTTTAAGTTAAAGAAAGGTTACTACTTATTCACCCTTTTGGCACATAAACACTCAGCTCCACACTGCAAATGCCAAGTTTTAGGTATCAAAAATAGACTTTCAAATGACAATGTGAACCCTGTCCTCCTACAGTAGCTTGCTATAGAGTTCAGTGTGGAAATGGTCTGTCCCAGTTACATGAGGGTGTTTTACTAATAAACTTAGTATTTTGCGGTAAAATCATTTTCAGTTAACAGCATGGGGTTATGTTATTAATTTTTGTCTTTCCTCACTTTCAGGATGGAATCAACAGAGAAATGTGAAGCAGTGATCAATCATTTTAATGGAAAGTTTATTAAAACTCTTCCTGGTGTCTCAGGTTGGTACATTTTGATTTCTTTTCAAAGCCCCTCCCATAGGGTAGAACAGAATAATTACCTTGCAGCTGTTCAGATACAATGTCTTGATTAATACACTTTCTGCCTAGTATACAGTGGAATCCTACAGAGTTTGCTGAACACCAGCAAACCACAAAAAGTTTGTAGCAAACCACAGGATGAGGCAGCGGCAAGGGCTGATTTGTTTCGGACTTTTGTGAACACTCCCAAGAACTGCACAAATCCAAACACAAGAACAGGGTGCTGGATTAGGATTTTCTAAGGGTCACTGAAATTGTCACTGAGCACACTGGTTCCAGTTTGGCAGCACTCCTCGAAGTGGGGACCAACCTCAGGAAAAAGGGAGAGGACCCAGAGTTGAGAATCTACACATACAATCCAATGAGTGCCAAACAAATGTTCAAAAGTCCAAGATAAAATGAAATGGATTGTAGCAGAATAAATTCAACGTGTTTTGGGATTTATCCTGAAACGTGTTGGATTTATTCTGCTTCAAATTAATTTTATAAATTACCTTGGACTTTTGGATGTTTGGGGCTGTCATTGGATTATATATGTGAAGAACTGCATGAGCACCAGGATTTACTGTATATGGAGTCCAGGAAATAACCGACCAGGAAATAGATTGTTAACCTGGATGATGCCTGAACAAAGATGGCTCCATCCATCTGGAGAATAAATAAAGGTATTGTTGGGAGTACTGTGATATCTGTGAGAGGTAATAAATAAATCTAAGTGGTAAACACTTATACATTACTTAGCAAACATGCACTTAAAGTGGATCAAACATCATATTTTTCAAGTTAATTGTCTGTTGCTAATGGTACTTCCCAGGTAACAGAACTGAAAAGGCCCTACTGAATTGTTAAAATGGTGACATCCATGTGAAGAACTTGGTAATCAAAGTGTGCAATTCCTTGAAATCCCTGCACAAAGCTGCTATGACTAGCTGATCAGATAATGTCATGCAGCAAATAGCACATTCTGAGAGTTCTTTGAATTCTTAGCATGCAGCATTGCTCCAGAAACGCAGGCATTCAGCTATTAAGCTGCTTTAACACATTTCTTTGTATCCTCCTGAACTTTTATTTTTCACCTTATCTTTCAATCAACTCCTGACAGCAGACAAATATGAAAACAGAGATTCTTTTCATGCCATACCACCATGAGGCTAAAGAACCCAGTGTATGCCTCTTATCTCTGCTGATTAAAAGGCAATGTCTGGTCACTTTGGTACCCTTACCTTAACACATTGTCTTTTGGTCTACTGTACTAGAAAATACTCGTACCTTAACAGTAATCATGTTTGTCTTTTCAATCAGGGGTAGACTGGGACTTTGGGGGTCCTTAGGGAAAGTGGGGACGGGAGGCATCATGCAGGACAAAAATTGGGTTTACTGTGGTGTAGAGTGCATGGGTATGGCGAAAGATCACAAAGCGCAGCATGCCTAACACATGCTCAATAGAAAACTGACTGTGAACCTTAGTAGAGATGGCGGTGCCTGCACCTGACACCTAATAAAAGAATCTGCTCGGGGTAAGGACATCGCTGGACCCCTGGACAGGTATGTGTCCTAATATTAAAAGTCAGGAGCTATAGTATTTGTAGCTGCTATTTATTTTATATTTTTTTTCCTGGTGTGGGAAGGGGAGAAAACCAGGGGCCACTTTAAGTTCTGCTTTTAAAGTGTATCTAAACCGTATCTAAACAGCACAATCTGAAAATTTTAATTCATTTTTCATGCTATTTTTACTCCCCCATCCATCCATGTCTCCATTCTTTATTATTTTGTTCAAATCCCTTTGAAAAACACCCCCTAGCAGTTCTAGCCAGGGTCATCTTGAGTAAGGGCAGATGGTTCATGTAGCATTTACTTCCTGGAATACATCTGCTATTGGCTCAGGCATGCAGGCAGAAGGGTGTGCTTAGCTGAAAGAACCCCTCCAGATGAAAGGGGGAAAGAAATGCCTATGAAGACTCCTGAGATGTATGACATCATTTGGCCTATGCTAGAAACCTGGAAGCAACTGAAGAAATGTAACAAAACATTTTAAAACAAGTAATTCTATCAATTTACAAATGCTAACAGCATAAGGATTAAAAATAGTTAATGTTGATGGAGAAAGTTTTTTTTTTTTTTTTTTTTTTTAGTTCCATTTTTAAAATAAAAGCACAGATAAGAGTGCTATATACACTCTGCATGTCAGCACCACCTCCACCATTACCTGATCACCTCTGAAAGGAACTTTCTATTAGGAAGAAAAAATGGCTTTGCCATTTCAGAACCCTTTTTCACTGTCCAGAGTTCCTAACAGACATATTAATCTCTGCAGACCTTCCTTAATGCCGGTGACTCTTCTAGCTTTTAATATGGATTTCTCAGGTGTGTGAGTCACAGGGTGAGTGATTTAGAAATGAATGTAATTATATGTGATTCAGCCTCCTAGATAGAGCACCCGGACTGCCTGTAATTACAGAGTGTTGGGGGTGATTTACGAGCTGCTTGCCTTTGCAGGACGGATCTGAAACACCCTTCTTTGACTGCTCTAGGTTTGATATAATCGCTATTGGCGTTATCCATCACCTTGATAAAGAATCATTTATGCTGACATGATCACAAACCTATTAATTTTTTAATGTGCTCCAGGACTTTAGGACCTTCATGTAATAAGGACTATACGCTGAGAAGTATAATAGACAAATGAACAAGCTGAATTACCAAATAAGTCACATTTTACGGGGGATTTTTCCCTATTTTAGATTGTGGTTTACACATTATAGTCATTGGCTTCTTTCTAAACTGTCAGTGTTCTCGATACATCGTTGTAACAAGTCCAATTAGGACTAACCATCTCCATACCAGGGCTGAAAACTTGTAAGAACTTGTGACCCATTCCTCTTCCACATGACAGTGCTGGCTATTGGAGACTGACCTCTTATGCACCATCGCTGTGGAGGCCGGGAGAATGTTGGCAACCTGGGGCTAATTTACCCTTGGCTTTCTTTTTCTTTGCACTGCAAGCTTGGAAAGAACAAAATAAATTCCAATAAAGCCACTCTTAATTGAGAAAATAAAATAATCCTCTGGATCACAAAGACTTGAGCCCCTGGTGTTCACCTGCAGCCCTGTGGCAATTTTTGTGTGGCCCTTGTAACCCCTGCAGACACTAATCTGTGTCTCTCTATTGCCCAGTGATGGCAATTATTTCTAGCAGTCTTGTGTAATGTCTTTAATTGGTCTCTTCCTATAGCATGCTCCATCTCTGACAGTCTCCTGCAGCATGTCCCCAGGCTTTGACCATCTCTTGTATCCGGTCTGCAGGCTCTGACCATCTCTTGTATCTGGTCTCCGAAACTGAATGTTTACTAAATTTTACGTGTGGCCCTTTGGTGATTTCAAGGGCTGCACTTGAGCTCCCCCATATCAAGACTGTTGACCACCACTGATTTAAGCAAACTATTGCAATTTTAACTGCATTGGCTGTGTACTCTGTACCTGCATCTGCATTGTACAAGTGTTATGATTTGATAGTTTTGATAATGAACAGCAGCATTCTCTGCAGCTTCATAAATGCGTGGAAAAATTGGCAACTAACACAAGCAGATTCTTGTGAATGCAAAACTAATTTATGACGAGTTCGACCACCCTCACTTAATCAGCCTATTTAATGAAAAAGCTAAAAAAAAGTATATAAATCATAAAGTTATTTGAACGTAGTAGGGTCACTACATTAAGCAAGACGAGCTTAAAAAAAAAAAAAAAAATGAAAGGATATAAGTTAATTGTAATCTGTATCTCAGACAGGTTGCAAGCATCCAATTTTGTAGGTTTTGTTGGGAAACAAGCTTGCTCAAGGCCATTGTAGACTCGAAACTGAACTGAGACTGGATAAAATGGAATAATTAGTTTTGCTGAGATGCTCTGTGCTTTCCTGGCACAATGCACAGCAGGTATACAGGGAGCATTTCTAGATTGCTCTACTGATACCAGACATGTCAGCTGAATAGTAGAAAACAGGGACTGCATTACACAGGGCCGCAAGCTTCAAATTGGCCCCAAAGAGGACAGCAGTCTACTTGATGAACTCATCAGCGGCATGGGTAGAATCTCTGAAATGACATTCTTTACCCAAAATCTTTATATTCTGTGAACAGTAAAAAAAAAAAAAAAGTAAACAGTCTCCATTTTAATAAACAAATATGTGGTAATATAATTGTGTGTGTGTATATATGAAACCTGTGATTGCCTCATGTCTTCATTCACACATATCACTACATAGCAGTTAAAGCCGCCTAGAAACCCTAAACCTTTGAGTGTGCTGTTCTGGAAGCTCTGGCTATTTTCCCACTCCCTCATTCTTTACAGCTAACTATTGGTCCTTTTAGAACAGCCTTACTGGCTAATAGTGAGATGGAAGGGGCAGACTGGAGTTCAGCATTCACTACTGAAGATGGGGCTTGCTAAACAGGCTTCCCAGTGTTTTGAGGATGTGCAGGAACCTCTGGGTGCCTGCTTTCAATTCCTTGGGAGAATTAACAAAGTTTAACATTAAGTTTAATTCAGAGGGATCATTAGGAATCACTCCCCCAGACTCAGAGTATGCAAAGGAGATGCAGTGGGATTTCTCCTATCCCCACAGAGCACCTTTCAGGTTCTTCACTCTTCTCCCTCTATCTGCCTCTCATTGTTTTGAAGCTCACTGTATACATCTATTTTCTCCAATTTCATTAAGAATTGCTGTGATCTACCAGCCCCAAGGGCCAGTGTCCACTTTACTTGATGACTTCTCTGCCTGGCTACCCTACTTTCTGTCTTCTGAAATTCCCAGTCAGTGTCTGACTTCAACGTCCCTGTTAATACGAACACCTGATACTTCTAATCTTCGTAGTCTAACTTCCTCACTTAACCTGAAGCAATGGCTACATGCTTCTACGCACTCTGATGGCAACACCTTCAACCTTGTATTCTCCTGCCTGTGCACTCCATCCAACCTGTCCAACAATCCTTTCCCTCTCTGATCACCACCTTATTGGGTTCGCTCTGTCCCTGTCTTCCACCACCTCTCCCTCCAAACACCTAACAATTACCCATAGAGACCTTCGCCACAACCCTTTTCTTCTCTACTCTAGTGACAAACTTTATGACAAAATCTCACCCCTGTCCTGCCCCAATCTAGCCACTTCTGTCTACAATAGATCCCTGTCCTTTGCCCTGCATGAACTCTTTCCTCTCACTACACACAGAATCGGGCTCTGACCCCCTATAACCCTGGTAAACAAACAGCACCAAAAATCCAATTCTCTCCTCCACGCTGAAATGCAAAGCTATTTTATCACTCTCATTAACACCACCTCATCCAGTCCCCATCAACTCTTCTCTACCTTTTAACTCTCTACTTTGTCCTGCACCTACTAACTCACTGCCCAGTTGTAATTCAAAAATAAGATTGATACAAATAATGATGAAATCTCCAGTCAACCTTAACCACCTTCGCTCTATCACCTTGCTCCCCTTTTCCTCCGAACTCCTTGAATGCCTTGTCTACAACCAAGTAACCACCTCATTAAGAATATCCTTCTTGATCCCCTTCAGTATGGATTTTGCCCTCAACACTCCACAGAAACTGCTGTCCTAAAACTCACAATGTACTAACCGCTAAAACCAATGGACACTATTCTGTACTCCTCCTTCTGGACCTTTCGGCTGCCTTTGATACAGTTGACCACCCGCTTCTTCTCAAAAACTTCTTTCATCTCTGACTGCTTTTTGTTGGTTCTCATTCTACCTATCTCACTGCACCTTCAGTGTCACTTACAACTCTACTTCCTCCTCTCCTCCTCCTTTCTCAGTCTGGGTCCCCTGAGGTCCTGTTCTTGTACAATCTCAATCTACACCTCCCTGGGTGAGCTGATGGCCTCCCACGGCTTTCATTATAATTTCTGCAATGATGATACCCAAATTTATCTCTCTACCCCTCGGCTCACATCAGTCTCCTCTAGCATCACTATTTTACTGACGGACATTTTGCATACTGACTGACGTACCACTTCCTCAAACCCAATTTATTCAAAACCAAACTTTTAATATTTTCTCCTCCACGTCCCCCTTCTCCTGACTTTTCTGTCAAGATCAATGGCACAACCATTGACCTGTCCCCGCATACCTGGGTGCTAGGTGTAATCCTGGATTCTAACCTCTTTCAGCCCCACATCAATCACTTTCCAAAGCTTGCTGTCAACCTCCACAACATGCCCAAAATACACCACCCCTTCCTAACCAATGACCCCACAAAGCTCCTATTTCACTCCCAGGTTATCTCTCGCCTCGACTACTACAACTCCCTCCTCATTGGCTTACCTTTACATAGGCTATCCCCCCCCCCCCCCCCTCCAGTCCATCATGAATTCTGCTGCCAGACTCCTCCACCTTACCAACCATTCATTGTCTGCCACCCCTCTTTGCCAATCCTGCATTGGCTGTCACTCATCCAACAAATTAAATTCAAAATACTAACTTCTTATAAAGCCATCCACAACTCTGCCCCCAGCTACATCACTAACCTAGCCTCAAAATACTAACCAAATCTCTCTTCGTTCTTCCCAAGGCCTCCTGCTCTCTAGTTCCCTTGTTACCTCCTCTCATGCTCCGCATCTAGGACTTCTCCCAAGCCTCTCTCATCCTATGGCATTCCCTACCCCAGTGTGTCCGACTATCTCCTACTCTGTCCACTTTTAGGCAATCCCTGAAAGCTTTTTGCTTCAGAGAACCCTATCCTGGCGTCATTTAAATGTACTTTTGTCTTATCCTTCAGCTCACCCCCCACAGTTTTTTAATTTTTTTGTATCACTTGACCCTCCCTTTTTTTTTTTTTTTAGATTGTAAGCTCTAATGAGCAGGTCCCTTTGATTCCTTCTGTATTGAATTGTAACTGTACTGTTTGCTGTCACATTGTAAAGCGCTGCTCAAACTGTTTTCTTTATATAATTTATGTAGAATAATAATAATAATGTTGAGCTCCCACTTGTTAAATGTCTGAGGGTCTATATCCGCCATTCTCAACCAAGTTTCCTCCAGAGGATTCCTTGAGCATGATCTCTCGTTTCATGGTTGTATGACCAGAGCCACTTCGCAAAGCTGGCAGCATGATACCAATTCTCTTTTTTAGTTGTCTGACCACCACTGTAAAGGGGTAGTTTTGCCATTGACCCACATTAAATGGTTTTAGTAAGAGCTCCTCAAGACCTGAAAAATATTTTAGTGGTTCCTGTGGGGTGAAAGGTTGAAAAAGGCTTGTCTATAGTGTATAGAGCTGTGTTAATTTCTGTAACATTTCCAGCATCAGTTACTCTATGTATATCAAACACTAGGTCATTTTGCTGTGCGTTCAGGTAATATAGGGTAACGTGTAAGGGTTGGGGGAACTGCTAGTTGCTGGAGCCTACGACTAGCAAGTTGACACAAATTCTAGCCAATAGTTTGTTGGCTATAAGGGAATGCTCTGATAACAGCTTCTTCATTCTGGTTGGGCTTTCCTGGAAGGCAGATCCATTTACTTCAATACATAGAAATAAACAATTTCTTCTTTTAGCCAAGACTCCTATCCACTCCCTGTTCTGACACTTGATGACACATAATGAATAATGTATTATCATTCAAGGAGTAGCTCAATTTATAAGCCATTTATATGTTGGAAACTATTCTATTACTTTTGGTATGGTCTTTGTCATAGCTGGGCTGTACTACTGAACAAATCGCTTGTAATTTTAAGGGTATTGTATGAACATGAATGCATTAGAACTAGAAGTGAATGACAAATATACATGTATTATTATTGTAGTAATTATTGAGGTGACAGAAGGAGAATGTTCTTTGGCTGTAATCATGTGGGGAAGGGCTTGTACTTGCTGAGTCAGTCTGTAGATTGAGGTGAGTTTTACTGCAAGTGATGTAGGTAATACATAGAACCTTGCTACATGGGTGATTTCTGCATTGCACTGCTGTATGGTTGCCAGCTCTCGTTTTATTTAGTTTAATGCAATCTAGTTTTTTGCTGGAAATGTATCTTTATGCTGGTGTACTTTTTTTAGTTTCAAGCTTTACTATAACATCTGCCCACTAAAGGTGTTTATAATTCGTGCACACCACTGATTGTGGACAAATTAAGAACAATCCTTTATAGTGAATCTTTCCAATGTGAGGAAAATCCCCTCCTAAACACGGGATCAAATGTCCCCTTTATTTTTGTTCTGGTGATAACTCAATTTTATAATTGCGGTCACTCTCATTCCTGGTGATATTGGTGATCAGGACAATTGGAGAGACTGAATCTCCCTGATGTGGCCGCAAAGACAACAGTAAGGCTCACTATAGATTAACCTGTTTTATTTCCTTTCTTCACGGGTGGAAGGAAAGAAAATCTCTTAATTACTCCAACACAATCAGTTTTGATGGGGGAATCCCTCACAGTGCTATGGTGTTCTGCTGACAACTGACCTTCCCATGTGGCAGAGAGCAATGATTACTGCTAACAGCTATAGCCAGTAATCACATGTAAAAAATCCGAAAAGCTGGTTGTACCCAAGTGGAACGATGGATCGACTTTGGTAGAATCAGCCTGCCCATAGACCAAATCTCAGCCACTCCCTGTTGAACCAGCCAAGATTCTATTCATCTATGGCCAGCTTAACATGGCAGTTGCTTTAAACCCCCACAAATCTATCCAAATTAAAAATAGATGCCTTTTAGTTATACTTTAGGGAAAGTTTATTACAATTACCCATTTAAATGCACTGCCAGCTATGCCATTTTGAAACATTCTTTTTTTTTTTTTTTTTTTCTTATTAGAAATTAATGTCATCACTATGATGTTTGTGTAGGGAATTAAATTTATCACAATTGTGCTCACAGGTACACCTCAAAATGGTGTGCCTCTCCTCTATTAGAAGCAGTGGTGATGGGGGATGTAAAACATTTTTTTTCCTGTGACTTGCTGATGCCTTTGCTATCTATTTATTTATTTATTTATTTATTGCAGCTCCTACAGAAGCTCTGTTGTGCAAGTTTGCCGATGGAGGTCAAAAGAAGAGACAGACCCAGAACAAATATGTCCAGAATGGAAGAGCTTGGCCGAGAGAAGGGGAGGTGAGACTTGTAAGTCTTTCCATACAATTTCAGGGTGGGTGCTTGAATGAGCTGCTTAAAAACATGACTCATACTTACACACACAGTTCTTGGCTTGGAGCAGCCACAGCATGGGTGTGTGGAACGGTGATTGCACTCTTGTACTCAATCTCTTCCGTCCCTGTGTAAAATTCACCCACATATCCATCACTGAACTCTTCACAGTTATGCAGCTTGGCTCAGATGCTACTATCACTATTCTTCTCATGCATGACAAGACATGTAAACGAGAGGAAGAAAGTGGAGTAAACCGATTACAGAATAATGGAAAGAAATTATGCCACTTGTGAGTCCAGCGTTGAGGCCCAAACCAGGAGGAATTGGCAGGAATGGCTGTCCAAGAAGGGCATGAGCAGAATTATACATGCTCAAATCTGCAACCCATGGCTGGAATAACCGTCCGATTTATGGTCGTTCTACATCAAACAGATTTATTGGGTTAGGTCTGTTACCTGCTTGTACCCCAACCCACCCACCACCTGCATACCTCATATACTTGAAACCGCTTCCAGCTTACATACCTTTACTCTGAAGCATTCCAGCTGGTTATCAGAGGATCAGAGTCCATGTTTTGTGACGAGACTAGCTCTAGTGGTATATCATTGACAGTCTGGGCTCACATGAAGGTGACACTGGGCAGCTTTTTCTTCAAAGAGGATCTAAACTTTGAATACACATAGATGATGGACATGGACTTGTTCACAGTATCTGTGAAAAAGATCTGCATTGTTTGCCTCTTAGATAAATATACAGGTAGGACTGTGTAATGAGTGTGAATACTGTTGCATTCACTTTCCCTCTTATCACAAGACTCTTTTTCACGGAAGGGTGATCTACCAATGTTGAGTATTCAACTCGGGATTGAATTGGACCCTGTGTTTCCTATGACATAGTTCTGAGATGCACTTGCTGGGAGTAGTGTGCATGACAGGTGTCCTATAATCTCTACAAAGTTTTGGCTGATGGTCCTACTTCCTTAATAAATGAAACAATACTTCATTAAAGGATAAGTTCACCTTTGGGAACATGTTACATGTTCCACCCGTTTTTAGGGTGGAACATGTAACATGTTTCCATAGCCACAGCCGCTGCCTGTTTCTCCCTGTACTAGTTTTCAAATTGGAAAACCGCACAGCCGTGCGGGGCTCTGCCCACATGGCTGCATCATTCACTCACGGACTGAGGCCGTCTTGTAGTTTTCAATGAACTATCACAGCACTGTGGAGCGCCGTGGTAGTTCCTTGAAGCGTCCTGTCAGAATATCTGCTTGCTCGTACATCCTGTGCGGCAAGCAGATATTCCGACAGGTCTGCAGGAGACCTGCATGGCACCAGAGATCTACTGATCGCTGGTGCAATGCTTTCCAGGCTCCAGTAGACAAAAAACGTAAATGCACATTTTTTTTTACCTGCAAAAAAGTCTTTCTTTTTTTTTTTGTCTAAAAGGTGAACTTATCCTTTTTAAGACTACAGAATACCTGCACCTATTTCATTTTACTTGTGTAAAGATGCAAGAGTTTGATCTAATTTTTATCATCTTCACAGGCTGGAATGACATTGACCTATGACCCCACTGCTGCTATTCAAAATGGGTATGTCAGAAGGTGATTTTCCCAACTCTGATCTTTTCATTCATGTTTGTTTTGTCCTGGAACACAGTGGGGGCAGCTTTTTGTGGTCTGAACCAGTGTTAATGGGAACTAGGAAACATCAATATCTGAGGGCCTCCTGTATAGGAACTGTAAACTTGACTTGTTGGTGTAAGCAACACCCTAAAATCTCAGTGCTTATACATGAGGCTCTAAAGTTTCTGCAGCAGTTCTGGTGAGATTGAAGCCTATAGAAGTATGAGGGGTTCAAGCAATCCTGATATGAGGCAATATGAGAAGAAAGCAAAAACTAGGTATGGTAGAACATGGAACTCCAGACTTTAATCGGGCCAATAGCCACTGGAGTAATGTGATGCCACTACTGCCAACTCTACTACCATTGTGGGGTTCAAGATCCAAATGTGTATAAAGTGCTGTGATCTTTAGTGTTTTCCACTAAGTAGACCACTTTGATGTTGAGCAGCTCAAAAGAATCTTACACCAGCCATATGAGCTTATTCAATAATCAATGCAAAACGCTGTGTACAGAAACCTATAGCAACCAATCCTAATTCACTTTACTTATTTGTTATTGGTTGCTATAGGTACTTCAAGTTCCTCTTTGCTTTGGTCCAGGCACTGCTTCATTGACTTGCTATATTTTACTAAATATCCTAATATGATAATATTACCCCTTCAGGTAAAGCTAGAATTATTATCCTAGGTGAGTGTTGGGTCTCAGGTGGCACTTCGCCTGGTAATATGTAAAACAAAGGGCTTCAGATGTCAAAGGATTGGTGTTTCCCAAAACAAGCAATGTTCTCCTTTTTATTCATTTATTATTTTTAATCAGCCCTACGAGCAAAAAATGGAATGTCTGTTTTGGTCTCCCTGAATGTATCAAATGTGCATCCTTAACACATTACACATGTGTATGTCTTCATGAAATAGGGCCTGTTTGTCATTAATGTATCCTGTAGCCTAAAAGGGCAGAGGTGAGCTCTCCCAGGTACTGATTGCTTTTTTTTTTTTTTTTTTTTTTTTTTTTTTTTAACTGTTTGAAGAGTAGGAAAGGATGAGAGCACAACAGTAATGGTATTAGGCCGATAACATGTTATTAAATCACAAGAATAGCCAATGCAGCAGTTCCCGTTCATGAAAGCTTTGATGCTGACAATAATATGGAGGATACTGAACAACAATTTGTAATGTGAAAAGATAAGATAGTGCGCTCAATAGTTGCTGATTGACCAGTGACCTGAACTAGCACTATCTTATCTTTTCTCATCACAAATTGTTGTCCAGTAAACTCTATATTTATTGTCAGCATGAAAACTCTGATGGAGGACTGCTGAGCCCCCAAAAACACATTGGATATTCTTGTGACCTCCTGTTGTGTTTAGTAAAGACCTACTGGTCTTAATACCAAACCATCTGTCTCCTGCTCTTCAGACTACCCCGGGGACACCTTTGGGCTACCCCAGATGACAGTTGCCTCTATACTGCACTGTACTGGCACTTCCATGTTTAATGTGTTTAAAAGACAGAACAGTTCTTGTCCATAGTGACCAATCAGATTCTTCGATTCACTTCATACTGCATTGATAACAGTGTAAACGGTTAGGTTTCTGTGGGCTCTGTTCTTCATTGGGATATTCTAGTAAACTGGCTTTTTTAATTAATTTGCAAGGAGTACCATGCTGCATTCTCACCAGTATCTGGAATTGTCACCAAATAGCTGCCACCACTGTCTGTAGGCAATAACTGCACACTAGCAGTAGTCTCATATATTACTTTTTTTTTCCCCCCTTACTGCAGGTTTTATCCTCCGTATAGCATCGCCACAAACAGGATGATTACACAGACTTCGATCACCCCTTATATAGCATCTCCTGTCTCAACGTACCAGGTGAGTGGATGAGATTCTGAGAACTACTCAACTGGAAAGATAATTGGATAATCCCTACCCCAATCTGTCAGACACCTCCTAATCCAGGGTTTAAAATTTCGAGTGTAGACCTACTAGCCAGGCACAAACCTTACTCTCCACCAGTTGCCCCTCCCAACCTTGGCCAGGTCTGCCTCCAACCCCACCCCCAGCCCTGCTCCCAACCACGCCCCTTAAAGGTTATGAAATTACATTTTTCTTTAGAATAAAGAGTCCAAAATCTAAAAAACTGCAATTATAACATGGCTTTATTATGTCAATTTCAACATAACAGCAATCGCTTAATAGCAATAGGGTGCAATCAAAATATCAAGTTTTACAGCTTTAAACCTGTAGTGAACATTTTTGTATTTTTTTTGTTTATCTCCTGCATCTTTAAAAAGACTTTTTAGTAACTAAAGTCTCTTTTAAAAGATGTAAGTTTAGTTTACAGAAGTATAGCATAAGAAAATGTGCTTATTTTGATGCCAGAAAACATGAAATAATCGTTACTGTGAACATGTATTTTTTATCTCCGGCAGATACCTTAGCGGTGGAGAGCGGGCCTCTCCTCGTGTCCCCCCAAGACGGTGGAGAGCGGGCCTCTCCTCGTGTCCCCCAAGGTGGTGGAGAGCGGGCCTCTCCTCGTGTCCCCTAAGGCGGGGGAGGGCGGACCTCTCCTCGAGTCCCCCGCGGTGGTGGAGAGGGTGTCTCCTCTCAGCAGAGGAGAGCGGATCTCTCCTGCACCTGTCCCCTCAGCGGTGCTGCCATTACACTGGCAGCGCCGAAGAAGCCAGATACCGGAAGTTGGAAACCGGAACTCGGCTTCACATTGAGGCTTGGAGCGCAGGTGCAGCCGCTCCATCATCTGTGCTCTCCACACAAGAATTTCTCCTCGCATTGGGCGAGCTGCTTTTTCAAGCCCTGTCCTAATCTATCCACCTCTAGACGATCCCTGAAAACCCTTCCCTTTTAAATAAGCCTATCCTGCTTCTAACTAGTAAATTTTATATGTGCGAAATCTGCTATGCATTGACCACCTCAATAGTTCTGTTTGAGTCTCCCCTGCGGTATTCAGATATGTTTTAAGGGTAGCCAGCTAGTGGCATAAGTTTTTATTGCCACAGTGACTAGTGAACCCAATCTGTGTGTGAAAACTGCAGAGCGGTTGCTATATTAAAAGTCGGGGTACTTTCTATGTGGAGCCCTATTTTTGCTATGAGGGGAATATTTCTATTCACCTTAGCATAGGACTATTGCACTTCTTTTGACTCTGATGCTGTTTTTGCTGAACCTCTACCACAATTTTGGAAAGGAGAGATTGAGATATATATTTTCTAACCTCCCAGCCTACGTTGGAGGCTTATGGAGTGCCAATGGTCCCCAATCAAATAGTATTAAACACATACAACAATCCTATCATTTATTATAATCCTAATAAACATTAGGTCATTTGCCCTCTGTGAGGCTTTGGTGCGTAAGTATACCCACCCTCATTTTTTGTTTAGGTATATGTACATGCCATACTAAGGGTGTTTTGAATTTGTAAAATACAGTAGGCATTAGTTCAAGTATTCCCCCTTTAGAACAGAGTAAAGTAAAAGGATTATAAAATGTACACCATGTTGAAGCCAGTGTGTTGAGGACACCAGATTGAGATGCCGGGATAATGAGTTTAACTCCTATAATGCAGTGTGGCCTTGCAGCTATCTTCTGACTGGGGAAATCTTCAATACTAAAGAAGGAAAAAAGTGAGCGCACTGGCCTAGTGCAACACCTTCTGACACCATAAAATATATATTCATATAAAATACTCACAAGAGTTAAAATTTCAGGCATGTTATTAAATCCTAGATGTAAAGTGTCTCCACATCCTCAGACTGAATTTTTCAATCAGAAGATCACTGCAACACTAACAGCAAATGATAGGTGCTGAATACTGAAACATTTTTGAGGATCAAGCACTCTTCCACAGAGCTATTTTTTTATTTCCAAAGTAAAAGGGTCACTTAACCTCCCCTTCCCTTCAAAGCAATATATTATCACTGTTCAATTGCTTTCCTGGGAGCGAAGTAAATACCTGTCACTTCCAGGAAGTGGTGCGCATGTGACTAATTTTTCTCATGTGATGTAAGGTTGCTTTCCTCTGTTCCACAAAGGAACATTGGGTGAGCAATTCACCTCCCTTCATTCACTATGAAAGTAAGTGATGGGAAATCCCAAATTTTAAAAAGAGATGACATCAGAGCAAGAGAAAAGTATCCCTGAAGGTGATCTTTAATATGGTTGCTCTTCAAAGGGATCCCGTGAATAGGGGGTGAAGGGAAGGGTAGCCCTGATGTGGACTCGGCTGCTGCCTCTCTAGTAGCGACATGACATCACTCCGCAGGATATGTGTAGATGAGATATGAGGTGCGCTCGATAAGTAGGGATGTTACACTTCAGGCTCTTATACAACATGTTTACTGAAGTTCACAGGGTGCACAAGAAGCCAATACATTTCAGGGGAAAAGCACTCCCTTCATCGGGGCTGACGTGGTGAATGAATTGGCACCTGGTCTGGAACTGGAGAGACTTTTTGCTGGAGCTCTTGTGAGGCTGTAGACAAAAAGAACAGCCAAAGTGAGGGAAACTATTGGCGGGTGTATTTGAAATTGACCGGGAGGTGTGAATCCAGTGACGGGCAGATGTTGGGCTGCTTTCATTTTCCTGCTTCTTGTGCACCCTGAGACCTGCGAACGTCAACAAACACGTTGTATAAAAGAAGTGTGACATCCCTGCTTATTGAGCATGCCTCATATCTCATCTACACATATCAGAGCAATAGGTAATGACTAAATGGGTGGGGACAAATGTTCTGATGAGAATTAAGATGGAGGTTCCTCTTACTTTGCGGAGATTTTTTTCTCATTTGGCTCCCTGGAACAGGATATAATGGAAGATCTAATCGGGACAAAAACAGTAAAAATTACTTTAGTGGGAGAGGTGCAAGCCTTTTCTACGCCTTCCTTTTTTTTTGGGGGGGGGGGGGGGTGTACATACACTTTAAGTGACTTTTACTTTGCACTGCAAGGACAAAGGAAAGTGTCACTTAAAAGGAAATAAAATGGAGCAGGATGCAATGATCCCAGCCATAGCCTATCAGTCCTTAGAATGGGCAGCTCCTCATTCTGTGAGCTTTGTGGGAATGTGAATACTGGGTGGTGCTCTTAACCACAGAACTTGGCCTGAAACTCCCGTGGTCATTCCCAGCCTGAGCAGTTTGCCTTTAGACAATGGCAATTTCGGTTTTAAATTAAAAACTTCCATAGTATTTTGGGTATGCTGGAGGAGAATTCTTATGTGCATCCAGAAATTGGCCACAGACCACCAGTAATATGTATTTTTCAGACGTTGATGTGGTCAGTGGCACTGTCCCGGAGTTCAGCCGAATTCCATTTGCACGAGACTTGGATTTTGCCTGCGGCCGGCACTGCGTGATGTACAAGCTTGTTTAGTGCAAAGAACAATGATGGCATGTAAAGCAGAGCAACCCACAACAATCACAATTCATTTTATGCAATAGATCAATGATGAATTCCGATTGGCTGCTGTGGGTATTGATGCTTTACAAATATCTTTTTATTGAACACATCTGCCATCTCCAAATGTTTACTGTTTCATTTGATACAATTTTAAGTTAAAATAAAACTATGGGAAAAATAAAAAAATGTACAAATCTGACTAACATTAACAAAGTACTTTTTATTTATGAATCCCCAGCCAGTAGATCCTTTATTTTTTATTTAATACTAATTAACTCTGGCAAACTTGGCCATGCTTTAGACCTCAGATGTCATGGATTGTGACCTAAGTTCTAGGAACATTTGTCTGTTTTGTACAGCTAGCTATGCAAATACATGCTGCAGATGTGAAACTATACTACAACCTGTAACAAATCAAGGCATCAGCATTTGCAGAAGTACAGTCTTTCTATAAAGCCAGCTCCTGTGTCGCCAGTATGACAAGTAATTTGAACCATACTGGTGTTTTAGCTGATCTAAACAGTTACATCTTGAAAATAAATGGGAAGCAATCTTTCTCAAACATGCGTATTTTATTTGTTTTCTCAGGTGCCAAGTCCATCCTGGATGCAGCCTCAGCCCTACATCATGCAGCATGCTGTAAGTACTAAATGGCTGTGTAAACAGCAGTGACACCTATAGGTCATAGAAGTGTATTACACCATGTTACTTGTAACTCATAGCTTTTGAATCAGGAAATGTGTTAAAGAACATAGGAAGACCTTTTTCATTTTTAATGTATATTCAGATCTCTTGAAAACCCAAATTATTTTTCACAGCACTCCTAAATATATATTCTGACTTCAGTCTCAATGCAGGCATCACTGGTTGCTTGGTGGGACTTTTTAATGATGGTTACAGAAGTGTTGCAATGTTAGACTTTTTATTTTTTTTTCTTCCTGTGGTATGTGGTTACATGCCTGCTGACAATTGACGGCAATTGCTTAAAATGCTCCTTGTGTGATGCATTAACTATTTTAACCCGCATCCTGACCCTTACCTAACCTTAACCAAGCCTACTCTGACTCTACAGTCATTTATTTTTATGTTCCAAGTTATGGTTTTTAGAGTTTACTGGAGTATTGTAATGCAAGATGGTACAGATTAAATGTTAATTCACTAGTCCATGCATTAAACAGTTATCACATTTTGCTTAAAGCTGAGCTCCAGGTTTCTTGTAACTTAAAAATCGATGGGTTTAGTTGCAATTTAAAGTTTAAAAATAGTTAACAAATTGCTAATCAGCCAATCACATGGAAGCAATTCAATGCATTTAGACATCTAGATGTGAAGATGACTTGCTGAAGTTCTTCACTGAACATCAGAATGGAGAAGAAAGGTGACTTTGAACGTGGCATGGTTGTTGGTGCCAGACGGGCTAGTTTGAGTATTTCTACAACTGCAGATCTACTGGGATTTTCACGCACAACCATCTCTACGGTTTACAGAGAATGGTCCAAAAAAGAGAAAATATGCAGTAAGAAGCAGTTGTGTGGACAACAATGCCTTGTTGTCAGAGAATGGGCAGACTGATTTGAGATGATAGGCAACGGTAACTCAACCACTCATTAAAACCAAATACCTTCTCTAAACATACAACATGTCAAACCTTGAAGCAGATGGGCTACAGCAGCAGAAGACCACGCCGGGTGCCACTCTTGTTAGCTAAGATCAGGAACCAGAGGCTACAAATCACACAGGCTCAAACAAATTGGACAATAGATTGGAAAAATATTGCCTGGTCTGAGTCTTGATTTCAGCTGCGACATTCAGGTGGTAGGGTCAGAATTTGGTGTAAACAACATGAAAGCATGTATCCATCCTGCCTTGTATCAATGGTTCAGGCTGGTGGTGGTGTAATGGTGTGGGTTATATTTTCTTGGTACACTTTGGGCCCCTTAGTACCAACTGAGCATCACCTAAATGCCACGGCCTACCTGAGTATTGTTGCTGACCATGTCCATCCCTTTAGGACTACAGTGTACCCGTCTTCTGATGGCTACTTCCAGCAGGATAATGCGCCATGTCACAAAATTCAAATCATCTCAAACTTGTTTTTGAACATGACAATGAGTTCCCTGTACTCCAATGGCCTCCACAGTCACCAGATCTCAATCCAATAGAGCCCCTTTGGGATGTGGTGGAATGGGAGATTCGCATCATGGATGTGCTGCCGACAAATCTGCAGCAACTGCGTGATGCTATCATGTCAATATGGTCCAAAATCTCATGAGTGTTTCCAAAACCTTGTTGAATCTATGCCACGAAGAATGAAGGCATTTCTGAGGGCAAAGGGGGTCCAACACTGTACTAGCAAGGTGTACCTAATAAAGTGGCCGGTGAGTGTATATTTATAAAGCACTCCCAGTGGGTGCATACATGGAGGCCTGATCACGAACACGGCTTGTGTATTTTCCAGCATACATTGCTGCTGTGTACAGTAGACTATAGTAATGAAAGCTGTATACAGCCGTAGATGGGTTTATGGGGCTACTTGCATATTCCTGTATGTGTACAACCCTGGGCACAGTCTGCATGCAGGGGCCTATGACTTTATGCATGCAAGCAATGGCATAAACCACAAACAACAATTTCTGATGTAGCTATGTATTCCAGATACAGAAATGTATCCATTCATGCCTGTGTGCCGGAGACCTAAGTTGTGCCATCAAAAAATGCATACCATACACATGCCATACCTTCCATCTGTGAGGGCTGGTTCACAACAGATGCAGTTCAGTGCTTTTTTTTCCAACTTCAAAATACATGCACAGTATGTTCCATGTGTTCAAAAAAATGCTGGTTTTTTTTCTGCACAGAACTGTACTGGAACACAGCAAAACGCATCAAAAACACCGGAATGAAGTGTGGTGTGAACTGGCCCTTAGCCAGTAAATGGCATAACCTAAATGCCAAACTTTCTGCAATAATAAGTTCAATATATCCACACTGCAAATGCACCTTTTTGTTTTTCTTGAAGTGTGCCATAAAATTCCACCCTCCTTATAGAGCCAGTTTGCAGAACAATTCTGGGATTATGAAACCTATTGTTCGTAATTTATTATACTGTATCATGTGCGGCTGCTCTTTTTGTAATTGTTAACACTCCTTCCCGAGTAAACACGGTCGGTGTATTTAATCATTTTAGCCTTGGGCCCCCTTCACTCTTACATCTGTTATGTCCGCTCGCTGGGGCTGAACAGTCTGAAATGAATTCTCCTTAAACTGCCGGAACTTTAAACCGTTCTTGTCGTTTACTCAATACTGAGGCCTCTGCTTTGGGGCTCCCATAATATTCATCCCATCTGTCCCTACACAAGGTTGTGGCACCTATAACAACCAACAGTACATCATGACCAGCACTGTCACCCACAGTCAATATAATCGGGTGCACAGTTTGATACTTCGGACTCCAAATAAATAATGGCAAGTACTCAAAGTGGATGCAAACCTGAATAAAAACTGAATAAAGCATATCTTTCTATAGTGCATACTTGTCTCAATCCAAAGCACCAATTGTGATTTCTGTCTTCTCTCTTCCGTCTATCTGAACGAGTCACTTCTGATTTTCTATCCCAGAACACGGTCCGTACCCTCTTCCCGTCCAGCCTCAGCTGTGCACGTTTCCCTTTAGGACTGTGTATAAGAGGGCATGTCCTTTTCCCTCCACTCAGGTCTCAGATTACACTCAGCTCTGCGCTCCATGCTCTTTAGTGTGACACCAGGCCAGAGCTGAGAATTGCTGTCTAAATTCTGTACTTTGTATGGCTTTAGAGGAGATATGGTTGAAGGTAAACTGATACCTTTTTATGTAGGAGGATTTTTTTTTCATCTGTGTATCACCGAAGGCTAATCACGTCATTGGGTATATTTAAGGGTTTACTACCACTTTAAATATTGTGGAGTGTATTTAGAAAACAAATGCAGCACTATTCATCCTGTAAAACCATGTGCATGTGTTCTGTGTGAATGGGGGCAACAATGAATGGCATTAAACTATTTTCTCTCTAGATTGAATGTTCTTCAGAGAGAGAATCAGGAAAATACCACAATATGGCCACTAGATGAAGCTATTCTAGTAAATGGTGTATCTAAAAACAAAAGTTTGTTTTAGAAGTGTGGTGCAGGTTTAGAACCTGTCAGGTTTTTATTGCTGTCTGTGACTCCCATCTCCAAATGTGAAGGAAAAGCCTGAATTTTGAATCACCAGAGAAGGCGTAGAGACTTTGTTCTGAATGGAACAGGGAATCCCTGGTAAACCCGGTTGCAACCAGGAATTCCTTCACTTTGGATGGATTTTCTCATTTACTGTTTTGGCTGGGGGCAGGACGTAAAGGGAAATCTTCAATGGGACACAAATGGCAAGAAAAAGCCTGACGGGTTATAACGCCCCCTTACTCCAAATTTACCTTTAGTTGTGCTAAGTATTTTCTATTATTGCTGGTTCCATCTAGTGGCTATAGTACAGTATTTATCTGTTTTATTCCATTCTGTATGAATGGAAAACATTCGTCCTGGAGAGAAAATAGTCAAAGAACGTTTGTTTTTTGGCAGTTTTTTGACGGATTGTGTGGTTATTTGCATTGTCCATAGCAATCGGTCTTCATCTCAGATTTTTTTTTTTTTTCTATAAATTAGGCCAATTTTTGAAGGCGATGTTGATGTCAAGTGTGGGCTGGGATCCTGTACACATTTTATTCATTCAGTAATTTCCCTGTTACAAAAAAAATCAAGATAGCCTTCCCTAATCTAGCGCAATATCTGTATCTTTCACTTTGCCTCAGTAACCACAAACCATGCTTTCGTCAATTTCCTTCTTGCAGGAAAGTCTTCGAGAACACAACGCGCCCGCGGCCCTGTTTCCCAATTGTCACATGTTCTTTATGTTTGAAAGAGTCTATGAATGTTTCATGTAACAAGCTCATCAAACGAATGCTACATAGGGAGATACACATTTCCTTTGTCTTGTTTTGTAGAGCCATACAGTATTTATTATCTTACAAACCAGCCAGGAACATGCAACAGAATTTGATTCATTTAAAGGAGAATTGCTGGAAAAACTAAAAAAAATAACCTTTTGTTTTGAAGAGCTTTTCAAATCACAAATATCAATAAAGGCATCAGAACACCCTTAAGCCCGGGTTTACACTGATACGGTGCAGCACATCACACGTGATTCGCACAAGAACCACGCTGCATTCCTGTGCAAATTGCGTGCAATTTCTCCGTGGTGCAGTTTTGAGCCATACTCAAATCGCACTGCGTCCGCACCAAAATGGTGTAGGACCCTTTTTTGTCCACACCAGAATTAGAGCGCGTTTTGCGAACTGATTTTGGGGTGTTAACTTTAAATGCATACCCACAGCAGTTCTCATGGATGGGGCGTGATTACGATGTGATGCGGAAATTGCACAGAAACTGGTGCGAATTCTGCTCCGCATCAGTGTCAACCCGGGCTAAAGGCACCTTTTTTGTCTTGTCACCTCCTGTAAGCATTTACAGTGTACAATTTCATCTAAAAGTCTGTTTTTTTTTTTTGAGGGGGGTTTAAATCGTAACTTCAGTCTGCGTCACAGGTGACCTCATCTTCCAAGTGGCTC